ACTTTGGAAGGCCAAAGTGGGAGGATCGCTTGAGTCCAGGAGCTGGAGACCAGCCTGGGCAACACAGTGAGACCCCCACTCTACAAAAAATCAAAAAAGTAGGGCCAGGCACGGTGACTCACGCCTGTAATCCCAGCACTTTGGGAGGCCGAGGCAAGTGGATCACCTGAGGTCAGGAGTTCGAGACCAGCCTGGAGAACATGGTGAAACCCTGTCTCTACTAAAAACACAAAATTAGCCAGGTATGATGGTGTGTGCCTATAGTCCCAGCTATTTGGGGGGCTGAGGCAGGAGAATCGCTTGAACCTGTGAGGCGGAGGCTGCAGTGAGCCAAGATCGCACCATTGCACTCCAGCCTGGGCAACAAGAATGAAACTCCGTCTCAAAAAATAAAAATAAAAAAAATTTAAAAATCAAAAAATTAGCTGGGTGTAGTGGCACATGCCTGTAACTCTCAGCTACTCAGGAGGTTGAAGTGGGAGGATGGCTTGAGTCCTGGAGGTCAAGGCTGCAGTGAGCTGAGATGGTGCCACTGCACTCCAGCCTGGCAAACAGTATCTTGTCTCAAAAAAAAAATAAATGGTCGTTAAATAAGAGATGGCATTCATCATTCTCAGCAAACTAACACAGGAACAGAAAACCAAACACCGCATGTTCTCACTCATAAGTGGAAGTTAACAATGAGAACACATGGACGCAGAGAGGGGAACATCACACACCGGAGCCTGTCGGGGGTTGGGGGCAAGGTGAGGGAGAGCACCTAATGTATGTGGGGCTTAAAACCTAGATGATGGGTTGATGGGTGCAGCAAACCACCATGGCACATGTATACCTGTGTAACAAACCTGCACAGGTGCTGCAAACCACCATGGCACATGTATACCTGTGTAACAAACCTGCATGTTCTGCACATGTATCCCAGAACTTAAAGGAAAATTTTTAAAAAATGAGATGGTATTGTATATCTGATTAATCAATTAAAACATTGTTTAAGCAATATCCAACAGTTTGTTATTGATGGTGTAAACTGGTACAGTCTTTTGGGGGAGCAATAGTGTCATCAGTCATTTCTGTCCTTATCTTTTGCCCGGGTAACTTCATTGTTGCAAATTCATCATAAAATAACGTCTTAATCTGTTTGGGCTGTTAGGACGAAATACCATAAAGTAGGTAGTTTATTAACAACAGAAATTTATTTTCTCACAGTTTTGGAGGCTGGGAAGTCCATGATAAGGCACAAGCGGATTCAGTGTCGGGTGAGGGCCTGCCTGTGGTGCACAGACAGTGTGCCTTCTAGCTGTGTTCTCAGTGGTGGAAGGAGCCGACTCTCGGGTCATTTCATACCGGCACTAATCCCACTCATGAGAGCTCTCCCTTCAAACTCTGTTCACCCCCAAAGGCCCACCTCCTAATACCATCATCACCTTGAGGGGTTAGATTTCAACATGAATTTGGGGGATCACATTCAGATCATAAGTTATATATAACTTAAAAAGAAGAAAAATGTGGAATTCATGGAGATGTTCAGGGCAGTATGGATTACACTGAAAAACTGTCAACAACCTAGATGCCCAGTAAAAGGGAAACAACCAAGAAAAGTCTGTGTCGTGTTCACGCGCTGGCAGGAAACATAGAGCAGGCAGGGAAAGGAAAGGGACTCGAGGAACGCGCTGTACCAACAGGAGGCAGCACCCCTTTGCCCGAGAGGCTCAACGACAGAAACCTAAGGCTACCTGGGCCGGAGCGGGGTGAGGCCGCGGAGAACGCACCCCGCTAGGCGGCTGCCGAGACGGAGGCTGGCGTTTCGATCACCGCCCGACAATGTGCTTACTCAGGTAGGATTCCGAAAAAATTCAGTCGCGCGTCCCTTCTGAGGTTTCGCAGCTCGCCAGGCCCGGCCCGGGCTGCTGCGGCTGCGCACTGCG